GTGGTAAGGAGTTTCGTCACCAACTCAAAGGCACGCAGTCCCCATTCATCAGCTGCTTCACGGGATGACGATGGACAGTCCCCTCCCATGTGATTTACAGCCTCTGAAAACCCACTGGAGGGTCAGCTGTGGGTCAGTTCTGACTCAGCAGGATTGCCACTGAGTCAGAATTTACTCACAACTGACCCTCCAGCTGATCCTTGCAGAGGCTGTCAATATCACAGGAGGAGATTACCTATCTTTCTCCCTTGGAGAAGCTGGTGGATTTGAACTCCCCACCTTTGAACTGGCAGCACAATTCCTTAGCCTCTAAGTCACCAGAGCTCCCTCACTCGTTCTAGAGATATATAATAATATCAGTTTAAAGATAAAGGTGTGTCTACTCCAAGCATAGTGTTTTTAATTGCTTCGCATGCATGTGAAAGGTGGACAATGAATAAAGAAGACTGAAGAAGAAGTGATGCCTTTGAATTGTAGCCCTGGACAAGCAGTGATTATACCATGGACTGCCAAAGGAAGAAACACATCTGTCTTGGAGGAGACACAGCCAGCGTGCACCTTAGAGGCAAAAAATGAGGAAACTTTCACATACTTTGGGGTCAGTTTTCAGAAAAAGACAACATGCTGGGAAAAGTGGAGAGCTGGCAGGAGAGAGGAAGCCCCTCTCCACTGAGATGGACTGATACTAAGACTGCAAAAATGGGCTTGAGTCTGGTAGAGATTGAGAGGATGGGGCAGGATACGGCAGCTTTTCAGTCTATTGTTCCTGGTGTCGCACCTAACAGACCAGTGACTGTATCCAACGGAGGGTTCTAATCCCAGGGCCGGTCAGGAGGTCTGGAGAGCTGGACCTTGAGATCACCCTCTGCCACATGTGGGGGTCTCTCTGGCTGTTTCTGGTCTCCCTTCAGCAGAGTAAGGATCTGGTCAGTCAGGATCCTGGGACAGTGGTCACTGCTGCCCTTGCAATACAGATAAGGATCCCTTGTGTTCCTGGGAGAAAGGGTTGAGGATCTGGTGGAGGAGGGGGCTGGAGCCCTGGACTCCCAGGTCGGAGACAAGAGACTTGGACTGTCGGGAGCTCGGACTATTGGGTCTGAGGAGAGAAGAGGTGGGAACATTCACATTCACTTATTGACGTTGTGTCAGAACTGACTCATAGCAGACCCTCCCGTGTGTTTTCAGAGATTGTAAATCACTCGGGAGGAGATTGCCCATCTTCCTGTTGGGGAGCAGCTGGTGGGTTTGAACCACATACCTTCAGGTTGGCTGTGCAACTCCTTACCCACTAGGCTACCAGAACACCCTGGGGTAGGAGCAAGGCCTCCCAAATCTTAAGGAAGGGGTACCAAGGGGCTGGATTCAAGGGTCTTAGAAGCTAGAGGTTGAGGGGTTTGTACCCCAGGTGTGAAGGGAGAAGACTAGTCCTTTTTAAGAGGGTTGGCCTGCCCTCGAGTGATTCTTTCACTGTCTGGCAAGAAGCCCTGGGGTTTGAGAGCTCAGTGAATAACGTTGAGAGGACCCACAGATGGCACCCGAGCTTGTGGGAAGGCGCCCAACCCAGAGAGACAGCAGCTTCAGTGCCTCCTGTCTTAGCGGGGACGCCTGAAGACCAGCCTGGCTCTGTCACAGGAGGCTGGGACAGCTCATCTACAGTGTCAGCCTCATGTCACCACACAGCCCAAGGCCCCCCGCACAGAACCATCTCGATGTCTGTCACTCCACCAGTGAGGAAAGGCTTTAACGTAAAGAGGAAACCCCCACAAACTCCTCAAAGCCAGCCGAGTGACGTCCGTCCAGTGAGTTCTCAATCACAGCGAGGTTGTAGAACTGCTCAAAGCATTGCAAGGCCTGGTGAGGACGGCACAGGGCAGGGTGGGTTTCCATCTGTCATTCACAGGGTCTCTATGAGTCGTAGTCAACTTGACGGCACCAAACAACAACCACGACATACCGTGACTGGAGCAGATGGGCTCACGTGACTCCTCTGGGTTTGCACCACCAAACTTGTGGTTAGTGGATGAGCTTAACCACTGCACCACCAGGCCTCTTGGCAAAGAAGGGCAGCCACCACCTATCATTGCAGGTGACATGCGTGGATATGCACCTCTTAATCCCCACTGACCTGCCCTGGGTTAAATGCTTATGACACTAAACCCACTTCTGTTCAGTCCCTTCAAACACCACCCACCAGGTTTTCTTTTTTCCCCCTTTTTTCTTCTTTTTTTTGTTTGTTTTAGATTTTTTCTTTTATTTTTATTTTAATTTTTATAATTTTAATGAACATTTACAGAGAATTTGGATTTCCATTCATTCATTGCTGCACTTCTCTCCCCGCCCAGCCCTCCCCCCCCCCCCCCCAGTTTGCTCCTCTCTTTCAAAAGTAAAAGAAACACTCCCTCCCTGGTATACAATCCCCCCCGCACCCCTCCCACCGCCCCAAGTACCTTCCAATATGCAACCTTAATTGTGGACTCTTGTGATAGCCATAATACCCTATCATACATCACTTTTAAATTATTCACTCCCTCATCTGTTTCAGTGCAGTATACACAATTTATCCAGTTTTTCTCGTCTTACCCCCACCCTGATATCAGTCCCATGTTACAGCAGTGTCACCATGCAATATTTGTCCTTTTGCGACTGAGATATTTCACTCAGCATAATGTCCTCCAGGCTCACCCATTTTGAATAATATTG